TTTTTTTTTTTCAGAATATTAACGTCACCTGACTAACAACAAAGTATACGTATAAATTGGCAAAATATTAAAGATATTTAATAATTATAAACGAAAAAAAAAGGAAAAACTTATCTACATAAATTAAAATAATTGAGTTCATTTTTTACTGCAGTCATATGTAACAAAATCATATGCAAATTTAAAACCTTTCTCCAAGTTACATTTCTTTTCCTATTTTAGTAATTTATTGTCTTTTTGACTTTGATGATACGCAAAATCATTAGCCCAGAGTAAAACTGTAGTCGAGAAGAAAAAGATAGAAAGAGTCGATAAAAAATTGCCAGTTTGGCTTTTTTTTTAGATACGCCAAAAAAGCATCAATAATAAAATAAGAAGATTTTAGCATTTAGTAATTTGACGCGTATTTAAAATGACACCATTTGAGATTAACGCTCCAAATGACGACTATCTAGCGCAACAGTCAGCAATAGCCACTGTTATTTATGTGGCAGTATCTATATTATGTAACAATTGTTATTTTTTCCTTATTTTTCAATATATTATAATACAATTAATAAAAATTAGTATAAAAATGCGAGAAAGCCAACAGGTTTGATAAGTTTTGATCCAAGTAGTTTTAGACAGAATATCTCAGAAAATTAGTTGGGAGAGAGGTACCCTGGGAAGGTTTATACTGTGAATTTGACTTTGAAGTAAAGCTTACACTTTGCTCAGCACTAAGAAAAGCAATTTCTCGCCAACTTCCGTTCACGTATCATAACTTCGGATTAACATAACCAATATTTCAGAGATTTAAAGTCCCATTTACATACAGTACACCTATACATCGCTTCCATCATCTGTTTTTGTACTACAAAAACGCCTCTTGATGAAGAAAAAAGAAATAAGTCAACAAAGCCATAAAGTGAACGACTCCAGCTGACCCAATAAGAAAACAGTTTCTAGCCGTCAATTAATAACACATACATGTGTAATGCCACGTAAGTAATTAGCTGAACTATTTCTACTGTACTGAGCGACAAGTCTCAAATTTATTAACCAAAATTGAGAAACCTATAACTTTTGAAACTGCTAAGCAACTTTTACAGCGACAGCAGCAACAACAAATTAACATCTATCAATGACGTAGTAAATGAAACAAGAAATTAAACAGGCTATAACTGAGCAGAATTAAGTGTAAAAATAACAATAAAAAAAAGTAAAGAAAAGTTTGTTTAGTTTGAAAGACAAAATTAGAAATGTATAAGTTACCGATTTGTCAAGTTCATTAAAGATATCACTTAATAGAACCAAATTTCTTTTTTTACAAATAATTAGCTAAAACTTTTTTTATCCATTCCTGCCTAGTTCACTGCATGAGACTGACCAGCAGTAATAGCAGCACTGTCATCAGTATCAGCAAAAAAACATCACATACTGGTTAGTTGATCAAACCAACAGACATTGGCGACGACATGAGGAACAGCTGGTAAGATCTGAGCAATCGATAAACAAGCGAATGAATCAGTCGCTCACACACTTTTTCATTCATTCACTCATTCACTCACTTCCCACAATCAATCGCTTATCACAGTACCGATTGAAGTCACCTAGCAACAGTTAGATACAGCAGTCTGCCAGACGGCTAATATCTAAACGAGGCGTGCTAAAAAGAATTAGAAGTGCTTTGAAAAAAGTGAAACAACTTTAAAGAGACAGGATAGCGCAAGAAAAGTATGGTCTATAGAAATCTAAAAAGAGGACTGTTAGAGAAGAGAGCGAAAAAGAAGAAAAGCTGAAAATATTATTTATTTATTTATTTTTGGCAAACATATAACGAACGGCAAAATATTGAAAGCAAAGGGAAAAGGCTTAAGAAAGACTACTACGAGCAAAAAACATAGAACAAATGACTGAATAGAAGCTCATTTCCCTTCTACTCAGCATTATCTAGATGTACAGATTACTTTGAATTATAATTGACAGTTCCTTTACCAGCCAAAAAAAAAAAACTTTTTTTATAATTATTTTTTCTTTCTTCTCTTCCTTTCTTTTGTTCACCCATGAAACACTTATGATTACTAAAGTCCTCTGCAAGAAATATAAATATTTCTTCTTTCCCATTCAGCGGTATAAAGAAGCAAATATAGAAGGAAAGAATCAATAGTTTAACTCGCAAAAAATACTCTTTCTGCAAAGTGTATTGTCGGTTAACAGCGCATATGATTGGCGGAAAGTTGTTCAACAAATTGTTTTTACCAGAAACCGAAGACTAATGCAAGTTTGAGAATTACATTGAAGAAGGAGGACTAAACCTTATAAAAACCATTAACAAAACTTCACTAGTAAATTGTTTGGCTAAAAAATAAAATAGTAAAACTAAACCTTTTATAACGCCGTTGTCCTAGACGATTTCTGATTGTCATTTTCAGACGACAATTTAAAAACAACAATGAAAAAACCAATCTCACTTTTTCTCCTTGCATCAAAACTTGACTGATTTGTTCAGTAGTATCCAATCCCACTGATATGAGTGCTCTTGTTGAAGAATCTACTTTTTAAACCTTTTATCAACGAAAAAAGTCACGCGAATCTAGTGTGCGAAAGATGTTAGATATCGTTAGGTGTTTTTAATAGTACCCAACGTTATTACCGTTATCATCATAAATCAAACTTCAGCTAAGCTGCGCAATATTTGGTCGAGATAACATGCCAGTAAACACGAATAACGACAATAGGTAATCGCAAAAGACTTGGATTTTCCGTTTAAATAAGTAAAAAAATCTATATTACTCTGTTTAAAAGAACAAAAAAATAGTTTTTTTTTATTATCATCGAATGCTAGAACTAGGTATAACGCGCTTTTACCTAAAACGTGCTCTAAACTAAAGATCTAAAATCGATAAAGTTCTCCCAAATTCATTTATATGAAATTCATTCAACAAGTCCTAACAACGGCGTCGTTACCAACAACCGACACCATTTAATTTTCTTCCTCTCCTACCTTACCTAAACTCACAAAAAAACTTAGAACTATCCCAACAAAAAAGAAAAATTAAAATCAATCGTTATTCCTCACAAGCACCATCTTTCCCTTTTTTTTTTCCTCTGAAATAATCCAGCAGTTGTAAAAAAATTAACGACCAGTCCAATTATAGTACAACAAACTCAATAAACACTGGGACGTTGCTAAAAATATCACCAACTGCATTCTGAAACTAGAAGAACTTGATTTGAAAAGTTGGTATAAAAAAAGAAAAAAGAGATATGAAAAACGATGGCAATCACCAAAAGTCGATAATCATTTTGATTCTCATAATACTAATAGAAGGAAAGAAATTTCATAAACATCTCATAAGTAACAAAAAGTAAAATTAGCTTTTAATAAAACGAAAACCTTGTAGGCGTTAGCTTAATTATATGTTCGAATTAATAAAAAATGAAAAAAAAAAACGAACCTAAAATTGGGTTAATTACTGTTAACTAAAAGCCAAACAGAGAAAAGAAACAAACAATTCAGCAGTCTGACAACCAATGGTTTCATCAAGTGTCAAGTACGACCTCATCTTCCCTCCGTCGACTAGGTAACTGCTCCAAACAGCAGAAGAACTGTACTTGCATGTAGTCTGCCCGCCGTCTTCGCAGTACCCAATTTGGTTGTCGGCAACTACAACACACCATAAAAACTATCCAAGCAAAGCGCAGGGCCATCTCCTCTTCCTCCTTCAGCTCAAACGCCACCATTGCCAACCTCTGCCAATTTCAAAGATTTCCTTTTCCACACCTAATTCCCCTCCCCCCTCCCTCCAACTCTAATTGAATCTCTATCAGGTATATCCAACTAGAGCTATAAAGCAATAAAAACAGCAACAACGACAATCAGCAAGACCTCAGATTCGCTTTAATAAAAAGCGTAAATAAACAAATATAAAATTTTTTTGTATGATTAAACAAATTTGAATCTAAAAAAGTACACACATATATGTATCATACAAAAAAGTTCATTAAACAGACCACTGTCGGTTTCTTGCTTTACAACGTAGCCAGGACAACTGATTTCTTATCAAAAAAACTTATCCAAATTTGAAAAAATGTTAGTTCTCTGTCTTTCCCATATTATTCTCACTAGGAATTACTACTACTTCAAAATATCTAAAATAACAACAGAACTCGTTCATCCATTGATTATTTTTAACAGTGAGACTTTTTAATCACTAGAAGAATGCCCACATACTCAAAAACCTTTCATTTTTAGTTAAATGTGGTTAAAATTTTACTGTCACTGTAAATAATAATATAGGTGTTAAAATTTGTGGCAGCGTTAACGGCATATGTTGTCTAAAATATTTTATTCAAACGATATTGGTTTCTGGCATTTTTTTAGGTAGAAATATGAGGTAAGACAGAAAGGTTATCGTATTACAGAGTTTTGTTTTTCGGTTACAAGCCAGCTCAAAACGTCAGCAGCGAAAGCCTTCAAAATCAGCAAACAAAAACGCCAAAGAAGACAAAATCTTGGAGGCTGGAATAGGGAACGGGAAGATAGGGGACGGAGGAAAGTACATAATGTCAAAAGTAGACTAGTTCCCTTGATGTAATTTGTCATTCCCATATTTAACCCATAAAGCTGATATACATCACGAACTTATACATATCGTAGGAAAATGCAAAAATGAAACGAAAATGAAACCTAAAGCTTATAAAACTAGCAACAGTCTACAAAAATTGAAAAACAAAACCGTAAATGATTTCCTGTCTAATGCCTATTTTCCTTTAATCAAAACTTAAGCAAAACAATATATAATAAAACGGAAAAAAAAAAAACGAGTAAATAAATCTTCTAAGGAAGCTAATTTTTTCGCTACTTTTTCTTGAAAATCAAATCAGAAAATTTGGGTAGGAAAAGTCCTTTTTGTTTAAAATATAATGCATAAAAACTTCACAACTTTTTTAGATTTAAATTTGTTACTGCAACTGGTAAAAGCGTAATTCTTCTTGTATTACAACGCAATAAATAGAACATTTCTACTCACAACGAAAACACTTTGTTTCTTCAACTTATTAAAAGTTATTAAAAGCCAAAAAAAAAGATAAGAGAGAAAACGAATAAATAAAACGGCATAAAAGCAGAATGTGAACAAAGAAATAAATATGTGGAAGAAACTCAACTGATTTTAGTGTTTGTTGTTTTGTTCTATTTTATTCTGTTTTTAAAACACAACAGCAACATCAATAAAAAAATTGAATTGTTAAAAATTCAAAAACCATAGACAATTATAACCAGCAAGCATAAAACTGGGCTCATTGAGGGAACAACAAGAAAAAAGCAGGAAGATCAGAAAAAGTGAGGGAAGGCAGAAGCAGAGGCATAAGGGAAGTCGATCGGATCTGTGCTATGTGCCTTTGCTTGGAGAACAGCCAGCACGACAAAGTTCCGATGATTAGTCTAAGAATTTTCTGGCAAAAAAGTCTCTTT